CTGACCAGGTAGTGGCTTTAAATACAGTTTGTCTGCCTTTTTGCAGGGTGTTAGTCCAACTGCACAACGTGCAGCAATTATTGCTGGAGTGCAGCTTCCTACGTATGATTGGATGAAGAAAGAAATTTTAGAACACCAGATAATGGGCGATACTGTGGCAACCCATTTTGTGTGAGTAGCATTTTCACAAAATATTTGAATTTTGTTAACAGGCATGTCACTTTATTTGTACATCGTTTATTGTTGTCTTGTTAATACATGTACATGCATATTAGTATGTTTAGTTTATACCAAATCTTATTTTCATATGACAGTTCCAGTGTTGTGGCTGGTTTAGCTGCTTGCATTGCATCAAATCCTGTTGATGTTGCCAAAACAAGAATGATGAACCAGAGACACTTGAAAGCGCACATTGTTGAAGGAAGTCGTCAGAATGTACTTTTATACAAGAATACTGTTGATTGCCTCTTCAAGGTATACTAGTTGCAATGTATATTATTATACATCTTTGTCTATTTCTTGTAATAAATTACAGTTTTGTGCCGAGTAAACATTTTATTTCTGTCATGTGCTGTAGCGTTTTTTTTGTACAATATGTAAACTTGAAAGAAAGTGAATGTTAATGACATATAAATATCAATTTATTCTTTCACAAGCAGTGATACCGTACTTGTCAAATGGCAAATGTCATGGATTGCATTGCCCTCTGGTGGCAAATTGAACAATGCCAGTGATTGAACGTTTTGCACTAACTTTTTGTACCATATTTTTATAAAGAATGTTTTGCTTTGCTTTTCAGACTGCGTCTACAGAGGGATTTCGAGCATTATACAAGGGGTTTATACCCAGCTGGCTACGCATGGGGCCTTGGAATATAATTGTATCCTTTACTTTTGTTTTCCTTCTGTGGGAGTGCATAATGGTAGCTTTTAAATGAAATATTGATAATCCCAAAATCAGTTATTCAAATGAACATCTAGGCCCTGGTAATAAATTGTGAAATGATTCACTTACCTGCTTATATAGTAAGTATATACTGACCTGAATAAATTTAGCAGCTTTATAACTTTTTAAAATGACGAGCTGTAACATGTAGAACAATGGGTGTGAAAATTGTATAAAATAGAAAGCTCAGAAATAAAGCTGGGCGGTGTTGAACAATCATAGCAAACTCTCACAGCCAGTGCGTTGGCACTGTTGTGTCGTTTCCTGGGAATAACCTTGATTTTATTGGTTCCTGATTACATTTTGGAAATTTGATTGGAATTAGCATTTGTTTAGCCTTTCATAGCTTTTGAATATTTTTGAAATATTTTCCTTTACTGTTATTACAGTTCTTTGTTACATACGAACAACTGAAGAGGCTTAACCACGTGGTTTCAGGAAGTGGTGAAAAATGGTGCTAAGAGATATTTTTATAATTCATTTTTATTTTCAATATTGAACAAATTTTGAAATGATAATCACATTATGAAAAAATATAATAACGGAGTACAACAACTACTAATACTTTGGTTAGCCAAGTTTGACAGCAGATAAGTTTTTTCCAAGATTTACTACATTTACCAGGTCTCTTTTTCACACACAAGACAAAAAGGTGGAAATAAAGGTTATCCACATGCTCTTGCAAGCCGATTGGTGATCATGGTTTAATACTAGAACAATCTAATGTGCTGATTGTAGTTTGGTTTTTGTTGAACATGCTGTCAAAGGATTCACCAAGAGGCTGTTTCATGTGCTTAACAGTGCAATACCTCTGTTAGCAGAGATGAATCGACTTAATACTTAACTTCAACTGAACTGAATGAGTGTACAGAGATTTAAAGATGAAAGTTACTTTGTAAAATAAATTATTTCACTTTATATTAAATACATAAGCACAGATCTGCTTGAATGCTATTTATTGTATCCTAAATTTTGTATTTTATATTTCAAAGAAGTTATTTTTTTTGTTAGTACATTTTGTACTATATTGGATGTGCATGTTCAATCCAAACAGGTGCACATTCAATACCGTGGCGTACTTTCTCATCCCTGAACGAAATTGTCTGGGAAGAATTGTTTGTATGCTGAAAACCTTCAATGTGCAGAAGTTTTTGTATTTTGTACAAGATACTTTGAAAAGAAATATCTGGATGGGGATCCAGATTGTATGTTAGAAATTACTGTGAAGGTAGAAGTAGTGCTGATAAACACAGGGCTTGGAGAAGTATCCAAGGTAACTGAATTTACAAAATTATCTCTGTGAATCAGTAACAATTCAGAATCTTCTCGGTTTCTTCATTTGCAACATTTTCATGTTGGCAAAATTTCAAACAAAAATCGAGTGTTATATTGCTGTACAGCACATTCATAAGACACTTTAGTCATTGTCTACCATTTACATGTATGATGTGTAATGTACAGTATTCAATTTTTTGTAATAAAAATACTTTCTGCCTTTTACTTGTGTTCTTTCTTATTCAGTTGCATGCTAATGAATGACCTTAAAGTGAAGTCCAAGCATTCTGATTAGTTTTATAGTCCAGCAGCACAAGTCTGTCTTGCAGGATTTACAAATGAATAATTAGTGAGTGCCGGTTTTGCGCTCTTCCTATTACCGTAAAATCTGTATTAGAAGCCGCATCCCTAATAGAAGTCACACCTATGCTTTTTGAACAATTTAGAACCAAAAATTCATTTCTCAAATGTGGTGATGTAGAAGAAGCCGCATCCCCTGCGGCTTCTAATCCGGATTTTATTCAGTACAGTTTTGAGCTTTGATCATGCTTGCATCACTATCTGTATCTGACGTGGCAGGATCAATTAAATTCAAACTTCTCTCATTGTGTATCTTGGATACTCATCCCTTGGTTCGCGATTCAAAATTTAATGCACTGCCAGAACAATGTGTCGTGACTAAGGAGTTGTATGGCCATCTTGAAATGCAGCGCCCTCAATGTGTTACAAATTAAACTGACATAGAAGAAGCAACATAAATTGCTAATGTACGTTCTCCGGTTTCAGTCTGGATTTGCATATAGTTTCGAAACAAGACCTGGTTTCTAAAATTTCGTCAATGAATCTATTCTTGCCTTGGTATGCTTGTGTTTTTTAGCTCCACTGTTGACTTTGTCGAGCGGAGCTTGTATGAGTGATTGTCTGTGTCAATGTTTTACTTTTTCGACGACTTCTTGAAAACTATATGCCTGAATGCTTTTATACTTTG